AGTTAATAAAGAAAGTGTGTTTTGGCTCGACACGAGTTTGGGGCTGCTAGCTACACACACATTAATGCGCGTCTTAATTGAATTATATTAATAGCATGGCAATTGCAATTGTATTGTTTTCTGGGCTGCTTTATATCACGTATCTTTAATTTTATAGATATTGCCAGTCTCGGCCTCCAACCCATTATAATGAATCAATTAAATAAATTTATTGAAACTATCCACTAATTCAAGCCACAATTGTATTTTTAAGAATACACGAATATTGCAAATTAATATTTACTGCTGAATTTTAATAAGATCGTTTAAGATACACAGAAGTTATATATATATTGGCAGACCACGAGTCAGTAGGAAGCGCAAAGCGCTAGAATTGCTGTATACATGTGCACAAATACTCACAAAAAGAATTACAATTGTGGCTTATCCCTTCAAGCTTAAGTAAGCCTATGCATAAATATGCATGCATTTTAAAATTAAATCAATAAAATGTTAATTTAAACTAAATTTAATTTCCTCATTCAAAAATCGTTATCATTATTAAAGCTAACAAAAGAACGTAATCATATGTATGTTTATCTATTCTCATACATACAAAAGTTTAGGCTTCGGCCTAACCAGTACATATACACATACGTATATACATTATCATAATTAACGTACATATGTCATTTTCTTCCCACAAGTAATCGAAAACCACGAAGTGGAACTTTTCAACACTTACTATAAATCTGCGCGCGTAATTTGAGAATTATATTCCATAAATATTTATTATAGTTACGTGATTTTAATAATTTATAATGCTGCTTATGTATAATTAGTAGACAGTCTTAAGGAGGTTGACTGATACATTAATAAATATAATCATTAGATTGATATTATTATATATGTGATTATAATAATAAATTAAGAAGCGCGCGCATTTATATATGTATAAAAAATCGTGGAGGTAGGAGAGTGAGTATTTTACAACACTCTCACTTCAAAAGTACTCAAAAGAAGCTGTAATCGAATTAGTCTGTAGCTTGCGATTGCCATCACCCTTTAGAGTTTTGCGTGTTGTCACTAACCATACAATGCATACAATGTCAAACGTCGGAATAATCGGATACCGATAAATTGTCAACGACTGAGCCCCATGGGTGTCCGCGACCATTTTAGCCCAGACAAAAGAAAGACTGCTGAGAGTGGCAGCCAAACGCCGGCCTCGAAAGCCGAACGTTCAGTATGAAGCCGCATCTCGCTCAGCGCACAACGTTGCTGCGGCTGATGCTGTTTCGTAATATATGTTTTTAATTCCTTACATCCCAAAAACATACATGTTTGTATGCATGTGCAGAGTGTGCCTCGCTCTCACTTATTGATTTGCGCACTTGTGTGCATCTCCTTCTCCCTGCATAGCTTCTCAAAAACCCCGAGATCTACAAACATACATATGTTTGTGTTGTGTGGATGTGCGCACAAGTAGATCGCGGCGTTTGTCGCGAGCCAGAGATTTTTTCTTCAGCTGTGTGCCCTTTGTGCCTGTGGCACACACATTCAAATGCTCTATCATGTATTTCCATTCAGTCATAATGAGAAGAATCTGATATATTTCTATTTATTAAAAACTTAAATGACCTAAATGATATATTTATATATTATATTTTAATTTTTTTGTTTACTGTGGGGACCAATTTTGCTTAAAATTAAAAAAAACTAAGTCGTATTTCTGCAAGGGTAATTCTTCGTCGACTTGTCATATAATTTAAGAAAAGACCAAAAATTAAAAATGTTCATTTTTTTCGACTTGCTACTTGTGCACACGCACACTCTTTCGAGTAAGCAGTTGGGTGACATTATTAAAGGGTTGGGCCTGTTTATGTGCAAAACTCCTATTTTCCATGCATGTTGTAAGGGTAAGGGTACCTGAACGTTGGCATGTGTGCATAATAACTTTTTGGGCCTGCCAAGCACACACACTTACACACTTTTCTATATGGATGGAAGTATTTATGCGTTTGCGTGCGCGTTGGTTGCCTGCCTGCCCGATTCAAATTTGACCAAATTTCAAGTTTTTGGCATTTCTGAATTTCGAGCTCTACACACAGACACACACACACACAAAAATGTGTGCGAATGAGCCGATCAAGGGTTTGTCGTGAGACAGAGATATTTTCATCAGCGTAAATTTGAGCGACGGTGTGCTTGCGGCCGGTATCTCACGAATAAATACTTCAATGTTGTCGTCTCTCAATAAGTCCATTGTTACGCGTGCTGTGTGGCATGTGGCACAGTCTTGTTGAAACCACATGTCATGCAAGTCAAGCTCTTGAATTTTGGGCAAAAAAAAGTTGGATATCATCTCACGGTAGCGCTCACCATTCACAGTTACGTTACGATTCGCAGCATCTTTGAAGAAGTACGGTCCAATGATGCCACCAGCCCATAAACCGCACCAAACTGTGCCTTTTACTGGATGCATTGGTAGCTTTTGCAATTCTTCTGGCTGACCTTCACTCCAAAATCGACAATTCTGCTTATTTACGTACCCATTGAGCCAAAAATGAGCTTCGTCGCTGAACAAAATTTTTCGATAAAAAGTGGATCTTCGGCCAACTTTCCAAGAGCCCATTCACCAAAAATTCTGCGTTGCGGTAGGTCGTTGGGCTTCAATTCTTGCACCAGCTGTATTTTGAAAGGCTACACACCTAAATCCTTCCGAAAAATGTTCTACGTTGTTGAGTAACAGAGGCCCAATTGCTGCCAACGGCGACGAATCGATAACTGATGGTCATCATTAACACTGGCCGATACAGCTGCGATATTTTCTCCAGTTCGCATTCTACGTAAGCGTGTTGATGGTTTAATGTCCAATAATGTAAATTTGGTGCGAAATGTAGTCACAATAGCCCGAATAGCCGCTTCAGTGGGTCGATCAAACTGACCATAAAATGGAAGAAGCGCGCGATGAACTTTCTTAACAGAGCACGCAATTTGATAATAAAATTCAATGATTTGCAAGCGTTGTTCGTTTGTAAGACGATTCATGGTTAAATTATCGTCCAAACCGAAGATGTTTGACAGTTAAACAAAACACGGTACGTGCGTCAGCTGTTTATACCAGTGTTGCCAAAAAGATAATAGCTAAAAAATCACCCTTTATAAGTATAAAACAAAAATCAGAGTGAAATCAAATTATAAGTATATCTATCTATCTCTATATATCAGGAAAATTAATTTTATCCAGCTATATCTTCGAAACATTCACCTCAGGAATTACCATGCGGCCGTAAAGTTGATGTTCCCTCTTCTGCGACAGCAAAACTCGGATTTTAATTATCGAATAAAATTATACAGTGAAAATGCCACCGACTTCAAGGGAGCTAAGTAAGGGAGCGTAAAACAGGATGAACCATCAAGTATAGGCATACTCAGAGGACCTAGGATTCCACTGGATCTGGTTTAGACTGACTTGGCACTCTGCAGCAGCACACACAACGGTCTAAGGACGTGCCCAACATGGAAATAAAATGCCTCGATCTGATATACGAGGAAAAAGTACCACGCCAGCCGGCCAATACACAAGGAAATTCAACGGGGCGACTATATTCAGTACAATTTAAAAGTTTATGAAGACTGATACAGATTTCAAAAATGTGCAAAAGTTATAGAAACATTTGAAGTTGAATCTACCCTTCAACAATACAAGACACAGAATTGTTAGAAATATATGTGGGTATTATGCTGTAACAAAGAATATAAAGTGCTTCCAAGTTTTCTGCTTTAAAAAATGCATTACAACTTTTTCAACAAATTCCCGCCCGTGAAAATATATTTAAGGTCCATTGAATAAAAACTATAAGTTGACAACAACAGTTGTTCCTATGTATTCATTTAATTTTTATGGGCAGCTTTGAAAATAAGTTTGGAGCTGAATGGACAGAACTTAAAACTATGCCTATTCAACCTTCAACCCGAAAAGTTTGAAACACGTCTCCAATTCATTTTAACAAAGATCTTAAATTCATTATTTTGAAGCCCATGGTAAACAAAAAAATGTTTCCGTCAATTTACCACAGTTGCGAACGAATTTCCAAAATCGCTGATAAAAGTATTCATTAAGTTCAAATGTAGCTTTTCGCGAAAAATGTGAAAACACGTCTAAAATGATTTTTCATAAAGATTTTTGGAAACTAATTTAAACTGAGAGAAAAAAATATTTAAAAATGATTGGATGGTAAACGAAAAATTTTAATACAACCGTTTTTCGTGATTTTTGCACACTTGCTAGTGGGATTTCCCAAAACCCTGCTTTAGCGTACACGATCACCACATCAAGTAACTAGAGTACAAATTTCGACTTCCTAGCTCTTACGGTTACAGGCGGTGCATTAATTAGGACAAAAAGGTTTATATAAAGGATAATGGAGAAATTAATAATAAACTAAAAGAAAATACAAAAAATTCAACGGACAATGAAAGTTAAATATTTATAAAAAAAAATAATAAATGATTCAGTAAAACAATTGACAGTTATTTATTCGCCTTATATTTATTGTCAGCACGGCTTAATTGTAGTCTGTTAGTATATGCTTTACCTTTAGGCTTATATAAATATCTTTCTAGCTACACTATGTGAACATGGTTATATTATTTTGTATTTATTTCTTACGATTTGAGGAATGTAAGCGTGAGTAAAAAAGCGTGGCTCTTCGCAAAAGACAGAATAGGGTGATCAAAGGATTCGCTGATTATAGGAATTAAAATTTATTTCGAATTTTGTAACTGGTATCGATATCAAAGGAATGAGTAGGTAGAGTTTAAAATAAGTGTGATAAAATATCGGTAACAGTGCCCTATTAGACCTCATTAGGTAAACAAGTAAAAAAAATGATTCTAACTTCTATCGAAGATTTGAATAGGGTAAGATTTAAAATATTAAAATAACTCAATTTCAGAATCAAGATGAAATATCATATTGACTGTATCTTAATTTTAATAAAATTTGGGTGAGAGGTACATTTTACAAAATCTCTTACCTGAGTATATTTTGGCGAACAAAATCCAAGGACCGTTTAGAGCCTGCCACCAAGGCTAAAATAATTTTCGAATTGTAGTAGGAAAACAGATCCATACAGTCATTACGCAAATGATGAAGTTCATATCTGATATTCTCATAATTCCGAAATTGTAAGTTCTTTAGTACATCATCCGGGGCCAAATATATTGTTCGGTAGATTTTATGAAACTGAATAAAATCCCATTTGTCAATTGGCAAAAAACCCTCTGTCCGCCAATTAGTATCGTTTAATTTTTCCGCTGGTAGTTGGAAGACGCGCCGCCCCTTTGAATCTGATTGCTCAAAATCAAGCAAAAAGATAAACATGTTTATAATATCGATAACAGCACGTTCCATACATATAGACTTTTTCTCAAGAACTCGTTCTGTTAGGTTTACATAAAAGATTACTTACACATTCCATTAATTGTTAAATGAACCTACCAATTTTAGCTCTCAACTTATTACTCTCCTCAACGAATTGATACGATGAAACAGGCTCATCAGGAACATATATATATAAGAATTCAGATATATTATAGATCTCTTGCATAATTCTGAGTTCTTCTATGTCTAAAATCAAACCGAAAAATATTTCTACCTCTTGTATTTTCTGTAAGTTTTAGAGAAACTTTCCTTATTGCAAGATCAAATGTTTCTATCGAACTCTTCAACTTACCAGACAAACCTTTTCTACGTAATCTTCCAAATTCTTTGATATCCATGTCACCGAAGATAGCGAAGGCTTTAGCATTACGGATATTTCTTGTAAGCGAAAGCGCATAATATTAATAAAAACTGGAGTGAGCGAGGACCGCAACCGGTCCAATCGCTGTAATGTTAGCTTTAATGTGTTAAATGGATGAAAAATTCGGTCTTTACAATAAGCCACAGTCGAAGCCATGTTAGGAACTTCTAAGTGTAATTTCCACATCCATTCGGTCTCAGATATTAGTTGTAAAATTGAACGATCTAAGTTGATAGCATATAGAGCCTCGTCCTTATTAATTGTTAAAATAGGTGCATTAAGAGCACAACGCACTTCTTCAACATAATCAAACCAGGCTTTATGGTATGCCATTTCATAATGACAAACAATTCCATTCATGTAATTGTAATAGCGCACTGTACGTTGTGCCTTTTTGTGTGCGAGCACACAATGTCGCAACTTTAGCGCCTGCATTGGTAAATCAATTTTTTTAAATATCGAACGAATCCAGACAATGCGACCAGCTACTGGCGGCAAATTTCGTGGAATGAATGGATTACCTCGCTCCTCATTATACACATCCTTGAGTAATAGCATTTCCTTTTCTAACATTTCTGCAACCTTAAAATAACGACGATCTAGACATAAACACTCTAAATGCAAAGCTTCAAAACGTTTAAGCACCAACATCATTGACTCGGCTGTTGGACATTCGGTTGTTAACAATTTTACAAACTGCTGCATCCCAACTTCTGCAACCTCAACTTCCTTTACAAATTTTTCAAAATCTGTATCAAATGTTTCAATTCGATAATTTAAGGGGTCATACAATTTGCTACTTATAGTAATTCGAGCAGCTTTTATCATTGTGTTAAACTTTTCCATTCCACTTATTAATATGCGATCCAAAATTGAATATATTATTTCAGTATTTGCAATACACTTTATCTTTTCTAGGCGATGCAAGAACTTTTCTAAACATGTAAATATGTAAACTGAAGATACAGTCCATGGTCTTTCGTTACTATTTTTCATTTCCTCTACGGTGTTTATATATATATTTTTAAAGTGATCCATAACGTCTCTACATTTTTCGATTTTTTCAATAATTTCATTTGATGATATTTCCCAAAGGCTGTGATGTTCATTGTCAGTAATATAATTTTTACTCGTAATGGTAAGCTGGTTGGAGATTTTAACCATGAGTCCCGTCAAATTAACGGAAGTGTTAAAGTAATGCGCTGTTTTGCACACATTACGAATCGCTACCATGAGCCCAGGTAAGCTACTTATAATTTCATCTGGTGATGAACTGCAGAAAGATAAGATTAAGTTATAAAAAAAAGTTAAGATTTAAAAGTTTTACCGGTATAGCGGATCCCAAAACTTTTGTAATGATGAAATGAAACGAACATTGTCTTTTGCTTCGTTGAGCGCTAAAGTAACCTGGTTATCGATTTTATCCCAGCGCTTAATGACGGATAAGATGAATTAATCACACGATAAATGTAAAATGTAAAATATACTTACATTAAGAAGTTTCGATGAACGCGATAAGGTTAAGCAATCTTTATGATTATTAAATGCACGAGATGTAACAAATTCTGTAATTGATGTTAGTTTAGCTAACATTTGTCGCCAGTTGACTAACATGTGTAATGGCCCAACGTCAGGTGGGTCCCTTTGTATCTGCTTTCCCTCCACAAGTATTCCTTGTATCTGCCGCAGCCATTTTTCAAAATATCGTTCTACTAACCTTACTCGGCTCACAATTTTCGAGCTAGCATCTATTTGCCATCTAGCTAGCAAAAACCCCTTAAAGAGATCATGAGATACGTCAAAATTCACTCGAGACGATACAATTGCATCCGAAGATTTGAGGAATGTATTGTACATATTCAGAATATGAAAAAACTTTTGGAGTTGTTCCTTTTCCGCAAGGCCAAAATCAGTTACTGCTTCAATAGATGGCTTAAGCACTTGTTCCACAAAAGTCTTGACGACATTTAAACATGAATCAGGTCCTTCTGCATTAATCATAAACATGGCCACTTCATCGCTTACCGAGCGATTTTCTATTGCCTTGTCATTTTGTTGCCGGTATACTACCATCCACTTACCAATCAATCTGACCGTTCCAGCGCACAAACAAATGGTTCGATGTACCTCTGTATGTCTCAGTTTATCTTGATAGCGGCCTGAATCCACAGGATAGCCTATCATAGCAGCGTTGCTAAGCATTACAGCCATTGGTCCCTTCGCATCAAATAGTCCATTCAGATTGTCGACATAAAGATTCTCATCCACTATGCCTGTTACTACCTCTTCGGTATCTAGGCCTATCATGTCTGCACAAATCTCCAGCACATATCGTTGATTAGCACCGAGGCTAGATATTCTTTGCTGCCGCATTTCTCGGAGCATTTGAAAGCGTTTGCGTTGTTGTTCTTCACTTTCTTGGTCACTAATACTAGGTCGGCGTGCTGCTCGCTTTAGAATCGTTCGTGATACTCCAAAAAGCTTTCGAAGTCGCTTTACATTGCGTTCGGGATCCATTTTTCTTTTAAAACTGACCAAGTTATTTGAAAAAATTCCTTAACTGTTTGGCTAAAAATATTTTGAAATATGATATAGACTATAAAAGGAAAATATTACGAGGCAACGCATTTGATTAATTTCTCTGAATTAGTTGTCAGTTTACGAGTGTTAATGCTATGCAATGCATGATATTTTCAAAATGAGAATTTTAAATAGGAACTGCTTTAAGTTAAATAATTCACTAGAAAAACACTGTTTATAGCTTCGAGCTGTGCTAAGAACTTTAGTAATTACTTCAGAAATTGAAGTAAAATGCAGCAGAGCTTGTTGGAATCATAAAAAAGAACAGCATTGTTACGGGGCGAAGTGAAAATATCTATTGTCACTAAGTCCTACTGGGCATCGCATTTTTCTGTTAGCGGCGCTCGCTTCTTACGATGGAAGTGCACCGTTAGAATTAGTCTGTACATACAGAAGTCGATATCACGCAGCTGCACAATTTGCCTTTTCGTCGAGGTTCACTTTCGTTTTGTGCACCGTGAGCAGAAGTGTAAGAGAAGAATGTAAGTCTCATAAACTTGTTAAATATATGTAGAATATTAAATAATGAAAGATAATAAAGATTTCAGCCAATCGTACGTAGCGAAATGAATCGTGTCGTATCGTACATCGAATCGAATGTTGTTTCTTTTCGACGATAGAAATCCCTGCCAAATACGCGCCCGGCGCGACTCTCGGCGCCAACATTCTGAAATATTCTCTGTTGCAGAGAGTGTCTTTTGTATTCTCTGCTACGACGGAGATTTCTGCGAAGCAAGCGACTTGCAAAGTCACAACCTGAGCTGCATATAGAGACACGTGTTGCCATAACCTCAAAGCGGACTTCACTGTATTGGTGTGGCGAGATGGCTGACGGTGATGAACAAGATGCAAGTGCGAGAAGGACGACAAGTAGTAATCAACCCGGTAGAACTGCAACGCTTGTAACGGCATGGTCAAGGCTGACGGATCGCCTGTCCTCGCTGGAGTTCAAGATAAAGTCGCCGGCCTAGAAGAGGGTAGCGGAGCAGCAAACATAGAAATTTATAGCGGCTGTCCGTCTACGTCGTCTGCAGCTACTGGTCCAAGGGAAAGTTCAACACCGACGCAGCAAAGAACTGAGAAAGAGGGAGCATTCTTCAACCCTTTGGGATGCCAGAACGTGATCTGCAACCAGAAACAGGTTGCGGCTAATTGGAGTGTACACCCTAGTTTGCCATATCAAGCAAACACGGCGGTGTTTAACCACACAGGTCTGGGAGCGCTTAATAGATCGATAGAGCACCCGCCGCGGCAGCAATTCGATAATGTACATTCTAATGCTGCGACGCCTTGGAATGGACCGCTGACATCTGCGCAAATCAGTGCGCGACACGTAATCAGCAAAGATTTACCAATATTTACTGGCAAACCAGAGGAATGGTTGATCTTTACCAGCAATTATGAGCAATCCACAGAGAGATGTATATTCAGCAATGAGGAAAATCTCATCCGGCTTCAGAAGTGCCTCAAAGGGCAAGCCCTGGATGCGGTGCGTGGAAAGCTTATGCTACCAGCTACGGTGCCGTATGGCCGTTTGGCCACCTTTGATAACTGGCTGTTTAATGTGGCTATGTGCGCCACTATGGTCACGCCCTTCGAGATACCACGGACTGATAACGAAAAGAAGAGCTCCACGAAAACAACTAGAGAGCGAATTTTTGTGCACAACACGGTAGACAACCCTGAGGGTTCGCAGCAACAGCTTTAGAGAGAGAGAGTTTCATGTGCAAAGTGCGCTGGTAACCACCGTCTTTCAGATTGCGGCGACTTTAGAGCCATGGGTACAAAACAGCGGTGGGAACTTGTCAAGGAAAAGCGGCTCTGCTTTTGCTGCTTTATGCGACATCGTGCACAACAGTGTAAAACAAAGAAGAAATGTCACGTGGATGGTTGCGAGTCAACGCACCATGTGCTGCTACATACGCCTACCACGAGCGGTAGTAAAGATGAGCACACGGGCCAAGGTAGCAACAAGTCAATGTCAATGGAATCTGCCGTTATGTTTCATGACAGGTCCGCAAGTAAGACACTGTTTCGATATGTTCCAATCCCGCTCTATAGTAAATCAAAAAGCGTGCGCGCATATGCATTAGTGGATGAAGGAGCTGAATGTACGCTAATAGAAAGAGCGCTTGCAGACGAGTTGGAACTAGATGGTCCGACGACCCAGCTGTGTCTCAAATGGACAGGCGACATAACCAAGAACGAACCTGAGTCTATGTCTGTGGCAGTGAGCATTTCAGCTCCAGAACATAATGCGGTACAGTATGCGTTGAAAAATGTGCGAACTGTAGCGAACTTGGACTTACCAGAGCAAAGTATCGGGCCACAGTTGCTTAAGTCTCGGAAGTATTTATCTATGCTTCCCATCCTGCCGTATAACAACATAAAGGCTCAGCTTATTATCGGCTTGGACAACATCAAAATAACTGCACCCCTGGAGATACGAGAAGGTGAAAACGACGACGTCATAGCAGCGCGAAGCAGACTAGGATGGGCTGTATATGGCCGCCCTATGGTGGGTGAAAGCACCACGCCTCGTCTGCTACATATTTGCCAGTGCAGTGCGACACGTGGGATGGATGAGGCTCTGAAGAGCTATTTTGCCCTGGAGTCACTAGGTGTGAGCGTCTCCTCAAATCCGCTGAGATCCAGAGAGGACGAACGCTTGATGCAGATAATGGAGGCAACAACAACTTATCTGGAAGACGAAAAGCGCTGGCAGACTGGCCTGCTATGGCGGTTTGATCGCATTCATATGCCAGACTCTTACCAGATGGCGGTTAAGCGCCTTAAATGTCTAGAGGCAAAGATGTTCAAAGACCCACCACTAAAGGAGTTCATGATGAACACGATGCACGACTATAAACAGAAAGGATATATCCGCCGGCTGAAGGATAGTGAGTTAGTAGCTAACACGATGTCGTGGTTTCTTCCTATCTTTACAGTCACCAATCCGAACAAGCTAAAGACACGCTTGGTATGTGATGCAGCCGCCAAAGTTAGTGGCACGTCGCTGAACGATTGTTTGCTTAAAGGTCCAGATATACTAGCATCTTTGATGGGCGTGCTAATACGCTTCAGAGAGCGCCCTATCGCCGTATCCGGCGACATACGGGAAATGTTTCATCAGGTCAAGGTGCGCCGAGAAGACCAAGCGGCTCAGAAGTTTCTCTGGCGTGATGGAGATTCGTCGCGCTCTCCCGAAACGTACGTTATGCAAGTCATGACGTTCGGAGCATCCTGTTCGCCAGCCCTAGCAAATTACGTCAAGAATCGCAATGCCGAGCGGTTCGTAGCGGAGCATCCGGATGCCGTAAAGGCGATTTGCGAAAACACATTTGTAGACGACTGGCTGCAGTCGGTAGATTCAGAATCCCAAATGATGCAGTTAGCTGAGACTGTAAAAAGGATTCATGCTAGTGGCGGTTTCGAGATGCGCCACTAGACATCAAATTCAAAGCAAGTTATGCAGGCGCTGGAAGACGACTGTGAGGGCTTGGACAAGCGTATCAGCGCTCAGGATGAAGCGCAAGAAATGGTCCTGGGCCTGTGGTGGCTACCTGGACAAGATCTGTTGACCTTTGTGGTAAAGCCGAACTTGCTTGCAAAAGCATCTAAGGAGCGCCCAACTAAAAGACGCGTTCTAAGCGTGGTCATGTCTATTTTCGACCCGCTTGGGCTGCTAGGATTCTTTAATATACGCGCCAAGATCATCCTTCAGAACATATGGCGATCCAACATCGGATGGGATGACGACCTTACCAAAGAAGACGAAGTGGATTGGCGACACTGGCTAGATCTAGTTTCAAAGTTGAATACCGTCCGTATTCCACGGTGTATGAAGTGGGTGAGCCGAACCCAGACTGTACAGATGCACACATTCGTGGACGCCAGTATTAATGCTTATGCAGCAGTTGTATATTTGCGGGCTGAACATGATGGCCAAGTACATTGCAGTTTAGCTGCCTCAAAAACGAGTTTAGCCACCCTTGAAGCCCGTGTCTATACCTCGTGGAACTAATGGCCGCAGTCTTAGGTCTGAGACTGGCCAAATGTATCCAAAATGAAACGTCGGTACGCATACATAAACGAACATTTTGGACGGATTCAAAGGACGTGCTCTACTGGATCCAGTCCGATGCTCGAAAGTTCCAACAATTCGTAGCGCTTCGCATCGGAGAGATTTTAGAAGAATCAGACAGCTGGCGCTGGGTCCCATCAGCTCAAAACGTGGCAGACGATGGCACAAATTGGACCAAAACGCCCGAAATTCACGGCTCGACCAGGTGGTTCAATGGACCACCATTTTTGTATCTAGAAGAATCGCAGTGGCCACGCACAGAAAAGGGCTCGGCAATAAACATGTTATACCATGCTGAAGATCAAGCCAATCACACATCCTCTTGGAGATGTATCCTGCCGGATCTGCAGCACTTCAGCAAGCTGGAGAAATTGAGAGCCGCACAGTTATGCGTACTGGATTTCCTACGGATTGTTACTAAGAAGACCAAATTGGACGGGCGATTAGAGCTGCAGAAGATGCTGCTCCTTAAACGCAGCAAAGATATGGATGTGATTTTTATTCGAATATGCCAAGAAGAGGAGTTTTATAGTGAGATTACCTCCCTAAAGTCGGGGCGCCGCCTAAACGATCGCAAAAGCCTGCTCTTCAAGCTCTCTCCTTATATAGATGACTCGGGCATTCTACGTATTAAGGGACGGATAGACAATATAGAAGGAGTTGAAGTCTGCGTAAAACGACCGATAATTCTGCCAAGACGACATCGATTGACGTATCTGCTTTTTGAGTTTTATCACCGCAAATATCATCACGTGCACAACGAAATCGTCGTAAACGAACTGCGTCAGCAGTACTGGGTCTGTAGCTTGCGAGCCTTGGTGAAAGAAGTCTCCAGTGCTTGCCCAGCGTGCCGTATACGACGCGCCCGCCCAAAGCCACCAGAGATGAGCGACCTGCCAATCGAACGACTATCGCCCTATACTCCACCGTTCACATATACCGGAGTGGATTACTTTGGACCCTACGACATTGTCGTTGGACGGCATCGTGAGAAGCGCTGGGGTGTGCTGTTCACATGCCTCACGGTACGCGCCGTTCACCTAGATATAGCTACGTCGCTCTCGACTGACTCATACCTATGCGTTCTGAAGTCGTTCGTGGCCGGACGCGGCTGCCCCCGCCGCATGCTGTCGGACAATGGCACAAATTTCAGAGGCGCTAGCAGAATATTAAAAGATGAAATTGAACGTATATCGCCGGTGCTGATGGAGCGACAATACCCGGAACTGGAGTTTACCTTTATTCCACCAGGATCACCCCACATGGGAGGATCGTGGGAACGATTGGTGCGTTCCACAAAGTCAATACTGTCGGAGATCCTGCCGCACTCTGGGCTACGAGAGGAGGTGCTACGAGCAGCATTGGCAGACGTAGAAAGCATGCTCAACTCAAGACCGCTCACTTATGTTCCCTTGGAAACTTCTGAGTCCGAAGCCCTGACTCCGAACCATTTTCTTATAGGTCACTCAAGCGGATTGCGTGAGAGAGGCTCACGGGACCGGGACGGAGCTAGCTTGGCACGAGGCTTCCGAGTCGCCAGCCAATTGGCTGACCAATTTTGGAAGGATGGTTGAGCGAGTATCTGCCCACACTCACCAGACGTACTAAGTGGTTCCAACCGCTAATCGAACCAATATCAGTCGATGACATCGTCATAATAGTGGACGATGGTGCCAAACGAAACTGTTGGACAAGAGGAGTGGTAGTCGACGTGCACCGTTCGAAAGACGGCCAGGTCCGAAGCGCCGTAGTGCGAACCGCCGATGGAATTATTACTCGCCCCGCCGTCAAGCTAGCTAAGCTTGACATTAAAGTTGGTAACACACTGCATGGACGTTCGTGAATTACAGGGTGGGAATGTTACGGGGCGAAGTGAAAATGTCTATTGTCACTAAGTCCTACTGGGCATCGCTTCTTACGCTGGAAGTGCACCGTTAGAATTAGTCTGTACATACAGAAGTCGATATCACGCAGCTGCACAATTTGTCTTTTCGTCGAGGTTCACTTTCGTTTTGTGCTTGCAGCTGAGCAGAAGTGTAAGAGAAGATAAGCGCGTGCGGAGCACGAATGTAAGTCTCATAAACTTGTTAAATATATGTAGATCATTAAATAATGAAAGATAATAAAGATTTCAGCCAATCGTACGTAGCGAATTGAATCGTGTCGTATCATACATCGAATCGAATGTTGTTTCTTTTCGACGCTAGAAATCCCTGCCAAATACGCGCCCAGCGCGACTCTCGGCGCCAACAAGCATGAAATAGCAATATTTTAAAAATATTTAGTTACTATATTATTCCTTAAAGATTCTAATGGGAAGGTCATGATCTATGATTCATGATCAGGGCTAGAAAACTAACAAAATTTATTTCTTTGCCAGCTTAAGCCAGAGCTGAGAATAACAACACATTCAGATATGCAGTTCTGTATATATATTCACACACATACAAATATAGTTGCGTGCACGGCCTTCATAGAGCCGAAACTGAGAGTACATTCTATTTTTAGCTTTTCGCTCTTTCGACTGTGAGAACGCAATGATACTGATGTCGTTTTCGTTCTCAAATTTCCAAAAATCAACCTGCATAGTAGCATTTTGTTGTATCATCATAGTGTATATATTGTCTTTGTCCTGACTGACTGATTGTTGAAAAGGGTTGTATTAAAGGAAATTGTTTTCCATCCAATCGGTCACAAACTAATTTTCACCTATCTTTATTCGAACTCATTTAAAATGTGTACATATTTTGCAAAACGTGGGCCTCCTCGATAGAAAGGCATAACAAATTAATGAATGCGTGATATCGTGCATTACAATTAATAAACAATCTTAAATAAATCTCCTTAAAAATATAAAAATATTTATAAAATATTTAATACATTAGACTAGTAAAATCAAAATCTAAAAGCATATCAGAATAGCTATACTCAATTTTAATTTATATTAATACGAAAAAATGTTAAGTTACTGTAGTAATGAGACTTCCAATTTTGTTGTTGTTTCATACGTTGGAGCTTCTGCTCCAATTGTAAACTTTATTAATTGACTCTTCGGGTTTGAATCATTCGTACAATCTTTAGGTGCTACTTACCTAAGACCGCGCGAACTGCGCTGCCAACGACGCCGGCAGCGGAGCAGGTATATTATATACTTATATATGTATGCAGCATTGAGAGTATTTGGTGAAAGCCGGACATTAAGTCCAAGCATGAAAAATATTTAGCTCTTCCTAATCGATCAAGAATATCATCTATTCTTGGTAACGGAAATTTGTCTGAGAATAGTTTTTTATTTATTTGACGATAGTCTATAACTAATCGCCATCTCTTGGTATCGGATCCTGGTAATCCCTTTTTGGGAACGAGGAGTATTGGGCTGTTATATTCCGATACAGAGGGTTCTACAATTTTATCCAAGATGAGTTTTTTGTCTTGTTCATTTACTTCTTCTTTATGAGTATGAGGAATTCTGTAATTTTTTAGGTACACTGGCTCAGTATCTTTATTATTTGTTATTGATTCGGTTTCAAGTCCGAATAAGTCAGTATAATTGGTACAGAGATCTTTTGGTTGTTTTTTAAATAACTGGGGAAAGTTCTTTTGTAATGTTTTCATCACCATTTACTGGCGATCTTTGCTAATTTCTTGGACTGTTTCATAGTCACTTAGCTTTTCTAATTTAATGTCGTTAAGATTTACTATTTTTATTGACGGATTTTTGATTTGACGGACTACTTCAGAACGAGCTGGAAGTATTGTGGCATTATTATCACTAGTGTGAATTATTGGTAGTTTTATTGGATAATATAAATTATTTGGCCGAAGTATTAGAGAATCACATGTTTGTGTGAAATCTAATTGTGGAATGACATATTTTCCTGTAGATAATTCTACGAATACTAAACCTTTAGAAAGTACTGAACCTTCACCAATTCCAGATATTTGGGTTGATATGTTTGAATTGATATTTTCAAATATATCAACATTTTCTTTTAATAGTGTAAGGAAGCTACTGGCCGGGGTACAAATCTCGGTCTCGCCAGGTTCAGGAAGCCTACAAGACATTTGTTAGTTGCTGGAGTAGAAGGTTTAGGGAGAGGGGAAGTGTTCCAAAATATCGCTGCTCTGCCTTCGACCCCTCTGCTGGAAAGACCTGCGCATATCCGGAACGACTGAGCGGGCCTTCAGCGTTCGATGAATAGTGCAGCAGTCCCTGCCAGAGTCCGTCTCGACCCGCGCTCAAACTAGTGTTGGGAAGATACCATTAACGACGTAACGAAGCCTCGTCTCTCTCGGTACCCTACAATTCAGGTTAGGAAAGTGGGTTGTTATGGTGAGCGACGGAATGAAGGCTCGTCTCTCGATACTACGTTTTGAGTTAGGTAGGGGAGGTTATGTTGAGTACCGGCTAGCCACGGTACCTGAGGTTAAAGTTATTAAAGGATGACAACAGTTAGCAACTTCTTTACGAATGTTATTTTATTCACTTTATCTTATCTCTACAGTTATTCCACGCTACCCTACAGTTCCCTTTCGATAAAAACTAGCCGCACTGCCTGGAGCCCTAACGCTCCGCTACGTATTTTGGGGATATGTTCCCACTTTGTTATTGCTGACACACGTCTACTCACTGTGAAGGTCTCTCCAAAAGTGCCGGCTCGTTCGCAAGCGAGCCGTGCGCTTGCCTCGATTACTCAACTTCGCCGCGAGCTTTCGCAACTTCGCTTCGGAGCCGGCGGTTAAATTCGAATACAAATCTATTCCCAATAGATGTTTAACAATACAAAACTTATAGAAAGGGCCCCTTGCCTTCTTTACTATTAATACTTATGCTACATGCAAAATAATAAAACTATAAATCTAATGGATTTACTACTTAAAAATAACAAAACAATAAAACTATAACTCTAACGGCTCCTTGCCGTGAAACAGAATCGTGGGATGGCCGCTCTAGGTAGCCGCCTCACACCCCCCCCCCCCCCCTCCCTTACTTCGAGGAGGTGACGGTTACTTCGCATTTTGCGTTCACCGTGACGTTGCAATCCTTGGGGCCCTCTGACACCCGGAAGCGGGTCCGTCGATATCGGCCCAAGGGGATTGTAATCTCTTCCTCGATGAGATCCACTACAGCCGCCGACAGAGCCATTCCGCGGGGAAACACCCTCCACCCCAAGGGGGTGGAATCAGAAACAAGGCTTTTGATGGTCTTCGTAGGCGTAGAAGTCCTTGGCGCGTACTCGGGACTGGCAGCCAGAGGGACTGCTCCCAGGTCCACTTCTTCGTCGAACACCGACTCCAAGCTCGTGTTCCACCCGTCGATTCCGTCGAACAATTCCGCGACGTCCCCCCACAGCTCGCTATCGGAGGGGGTCTTGTGGACCTCTGTGGATGAAACGGGTGCCGTTTCCGCCTCTTCGAACCATAGGCTTTCTGTATCTGTCCGGTGGGCGGCAACCGGCATCGCCGCGCGTGTGACGGGCACCAGCGGCGCAGGTGCCCGTGCGCGTATTATGGACACGAGGGGGGCATTGCATCCTCATCTTTGGTCTGCTGTTCCTCTGCAACCATCTGGCAGACAGTTATTGGTACCCTCCAGGGATCGGAACATCCTCCTGGGGGAGTAACCACGGCTCCACAACTCCGGCTATCCTTCTCAGGCTGAGAAGGACCCTCCTGGCGCTCGCGGGGCGAACGCGGCACACGGAGTTGCGGATCTTTGGGTGCCTCGGTCTCCGGGCAAGACCTTTTGGGGGTGGATACTTCTCCCTCTCGACACTGGGCTGCCGTTGGCTCCCACTTCGGCGACGCTTACCTCTGGTGGCTGTCTGACGACGGTGGCGGTTTCGCCGGCCTTTTCCCCCAGGATTATCTCCTGTGCCCGATTTTCCCCGCTTTGAAAGGCCGGAACGGGATGCACCACCCATCTCGGGGATCTTTGGCAGGTAGCGCAGAGTAATCCGCGGGAAGCGGCTATTAGGGTCTACCTCCAAACGGTGGGTGGCGAGGCGGCGACCTAATAACGGTTCCTCGTCCGTTATGGGCTCCGGCGTCGGTTGGCTCCTCTTCTCGGCAATGTCCGATTCGCTGCGGAGTTCGTAGGACTCTGCGTCGGCTGCTGGGGTGTCGCATGCTATACCCGATGGCGCCGACTCGACTTCTGGGGCCGACGGTGGAATTCCTGCTCCTGCCGCCTCCAACGATCTGGGCTCTCGCATTGGTGGCGTGTGCTCGTCCGCCTCGAGGGGGGGTCCACTTGTACGTCCACCTCGTTAGTTGCTGTTCGGACTGCCCTCTCGGGTGACATTGTCGAATGGGGCGCCGACGGGGGAGACAGGGGCTCCTCCGCGTACGGCGGCGAATTCCTCAAAAATGGCGCTTCGACGAACATGGTCGTCACTTCGACGCCCATTAACATGACCATCCCGTCCAAGCGTTCCATTATATTGGTCCGTCGGGAGTACATCGTGTGGCGGAAGTGGCGGGGCGGTTCCTCCTGCTGACGCCCACGATAGAAATCGCGATCTTGGCGGGGGTCGCGTTTGGCGGCCTCCGGTGCCAGGCCTTGGGAACGGCT